TATGTACAGCATGTGCGACCCTCACCGATAACTATAGGAAAAACCTCTACAAAGGTTTCCAGTATATTAGATAACGACCTTGATGCTTCAGTTGAATAAATTAAAAACTGTGTATACTCAAAGGACTCGTAAAATAAAACTAAGTTAAACTAACTTAAAACTTTTCCTTTGATCTTCCCTTGATCATTGCCACTTTAAATGATTTGAACTCGGACAGCCTGACGAAGTTTGGGGGTGAAAAGATGTTAAAGGCCGACAGACTGCAAACACTTTCCGACACCCCGAGACTTTCAAACTGCTGCTGGCTTAAATTATACCCTTCGCTCTGCTATTTCACGACACCTTGAGTACAATGAAGATAAACGTGGTGCTAAGATGGCACACATTTTAAGAAAGTTATACATCATAAGGCAGAGAACAAGATTTGTCACATCAGCATTTCATTTCATGGCAATTCTTGTTCATGTTTTATTCTCGTTCTATAAAAGCGTTTTTTTTTCTTGTTGTTTTTGGTTTCCACGGTCGCTTGATAGAGGTGTCGAGTGAGCAAAGGTTCATTTTACAGTAAATATAGGGAAAAAATTAGGGGTCTTAGGCTAGTGTAAGTTTAATATAGGTCATAACGGTCCTTCATGAAGCTGTTTCTGGTTTTTCTTTTCAAAGACACATCTTACAGTTAACAAGGACACGTTAATAACAAGGTTACGCAAAGGGCCCATCATTCAAAATGGCGGTTAGGAAAATATGGTTAGCTACCGTGCTAAAATATTCACATAAAATGATTCCTTATCCATGTGAACTGCAAAGGTTTGCGCGGTCTATGAAGTGCTACAGCGTCAGGAAAAGCTGTTGTTATTATTGTTGTTTACACATCCTCAGTTGGCTGCTCGACTTGAACCTCAACTGGATCCTTATCTTCATCTCGGGGTGGAAGAATCTGTGGAAGATTAAAGAATTCGTCAGTGAGAAGAGGTAGTCTAAGGTATTCGTGAGTGTCAAGGCTTGATATATAACCGCTGTTCAGGAAATATCGCAGCCCCGGCTCCTCCACCGAAGAGACCGCGTGGACCCGTGGAATTGCCCCACGAATCCACCCGTCTCTTCTGGGGGTAAGAAGGGAAACAATGACAGGGAAACATCTATTGATCTATTGCAACCTACCTCCCAACGGTGTAGTCCGGTTTAAGACAATTCCGATTCAAGTTTCAACGATAAAAAAAATTTAGCATGTGGGGAGGGGGGGGGGTTTCTGGAGTCAACGACGAAGCCAGAAAGGTTGCCCAGTCAATTCCCATTCAAAGCATTAATACATTTTAAATCTAGTCAGTCACACTGCAGCGTTGGCAAATCATAATTAAGAAGTGAAGAAAGTATTGGGTCTTACCTCAAATGGTTCACTGACGGATATAATGCAGTCCAACTTGTAGCTGTAGTAACACATCACGTAATGGCCAGCCTCCTCTGGCAGACAGTCGAACAACACTGCGCAGCCGTTCTCGCCGTACTCATCCCCGTCCCCCACGGCCCACTCATACATTTCGTAATCGAAAACATGTTGAAAACCGACCTATAACGAACGGTTTCGCAGCAATGAGTCGCATTACTATTCAGTAAAGGAGTCTATTATCATTGTTATCCACTCCCAAGCTTATCTATCAACTTTGAACGAATTTTTGCCATTTCTTACTTAACTTCACGACTTGTGATGTACGTATCAAATGAATTCAGCTATTGTGGAAGACCATCAAAAGTATAAGGAACAGCTGAGCCGACAAAATTAAACTACAAAATACGAGCAAACCTTTTTTGCGTTTGAGAAGAGAGCAACTTCGCGAGCCAGTTTGCCTCACGCTTGCACTTAAATGCGTCTGCGAGCTACCTCAGGTTAAAGGTCCAAAGAACCTTAATTCCCTGCCTTTATTAGGAAAATCACTTGCTTCGCCGATTCTGATCAAATTGTATGTAGTGTCACGGAGGGGAAGGATCGAGACCTAAAGGTCTTTCTACTACTTTTAAACCTCACGTTACGTTGATCATGTTACCAACAAAATCATTAGCCCAAAGAATGAAGACTCTAAAGCGGGAAGACATTATTTAAAAAGGTATAGGAACCATAAAATATGTACAAACCCGGTAGAGACCAATCCAATCCCAGCTGTATGTCTTGTAGTTCTTCACCACGTATACACACAAACCATCCTACACACAGACACACACACACAAAAAAAAAAACGGGAGTAGCAGTAAGATACTGCAAATGTATAAGTTAACCATATTTTCTTGTAGCATACATGCGACAGGCACGCATCCTACAAAAGGCATGAAGTCAGTGTTTCAGCGTAAGCTAATACACAAGACTTGTTCTTTGGTGTTTTTAAGTTCAGGTTAAGTGTTCAGATATGACTGGCCTTTGTTACTAATAAGATCTGGTCCTTCGTATCCGAAGCGCGCCCACTTATTATTTGCAGACCACTGCCTCTCCAATTTCTTTGGTTTTGGTATAGCGAATACCAACCTCGTTGCCGTACCATGGAAGACTCATGAGATCCAACTTCCACGAAATAGGATCCTCCATTGACGAGGTGGAGTCCTGTACGAGGCAAACAAAATAACATCAGCCACTGAGCAATTTCATCGAGAGTCAAACACCGCCCAGGATTGCACTGGTTTAACTTTACCAGAGTCTGCAACTGGTTTAGACACCGGCACATCTTTCTCAACTTATCATATGTTAATAAAACTAATCGTGCCATCAGTCACTCTATGTTCCAGCGCTTTGAACCACGCGTACTTACTGTCGAGCTGCGATTGGCTCCTTGCATTGCTAACCTTTCTTCTGAATGGCTCTTGCGATTTGACTTCGATATCAAAAAGCGGTATAACATCATTTATATTAAGCCACTCACATTAAGGTTCACTGCAAGCGAGGAACCAACAGGTCTGTGATCACTTGTTTGGTAAGACTGATAAGACACGTAACTCTCCTGTGTAACAGTGTTTTTCCTCTCCTCGGATTCGAGCCACAATACACGATCAGTCCAGGCAGGTTTGCGATATTTTCCACTGTAATGGGATCACAACAAATTTTAGAGTACTTTTCATATAAATGTCAAAAGCAGTCCAGGAATTAATTGGTTTTTCTCAGTTATACTACGTGATTTGTCTAAAGCACTATCGCCACTTCATCAACCAATCAGATGAAAACCAACCCAAACTTATGCAGGGCTCGAAATTAACGCTCGAAAACCCGCAAAATGCGAGTGATATTGATAATATCCTCTAGCAAACGTTTGCGAGTTAAAATCATCCATGTGTCCTAAATATTTGGAGAAAGCTGTTGGAACGCAAGAAGGAATATACGAACGACATGTGAGGAAAATGAAACAGCGGACGCTGAGCTTTTTGTCAGCCACTCACCAACGGTATTACACCGAAGCTCTGTCCCTGCGCATTCGCGTGTTGTTGTTGTTCCTCGTCGTTTCGGTGCTATCATTTTTATTACATATGTCAAATATAACTTCTTTCTTCAAGAGGGCCAGTATCGGTGGCGATGAATTTGCTAGTAGTCTGACCAGTTTGCAAGTGGGAAAAAAATCTCACCAGCAGAACTTTGCCAGTGAAACAAAAAGTTAACTTCGAGCCCTATCATGGTCGTTTGTATGTATGTAATTCGAATTCTCATTGGCTCCGTATGTTCTCCATCTTTGATCTGATTGGTCATTGTGAATTCCTCAGCTTTGGTTGACGGTTCTCTCTATGAGTAATGTGACCTACCTTTCTGTGTCCCATTGATCTGTTCCAGGTTTGTATTTGTAAGTGGGTGGAAAGGTAAGCCCTCCTTCTTGGAATTTTTCAAAACATTTGCCGTCTTTCTGACCTTGTAAGAGCTGAGGAAAGAAAAGAGCCAAACACATTACGATATCTAATAAGGATTTATGTCTAACGGTCTAAATAACTTACAGACCTAAAGCACCAGGGTAACTAACGACGCACAACAAAACCTCGTCATCTTCTTAACGCCAAAGGGAAAGAGAGGGGGAAGATAAAAGGGGAGGGGGGAGGCAGGGAGAGAGAGGGGGAGGCAGGGAGAGAGGGAGGAGGTAGGGAGAGAGGGGGGAGGCAGGGAGAGAGGCAGGGAGAAAGGGGGGAGGCAGGGAGAGAGGGGGCAGGCAGGGAGAGAGGGGGGATTAGAAGGAATGAAAAGAGAGAGAGCCTGAAAACAAGATTGCAGTGACAGGGACGAGGTTAAATGAGGGTTAGGGGTGTGAAGGATCCTTGGGTGAAAGTGACTCTCTGTTGTAATGAAAAAGCAATTAATCAAAATCTAGATTAATCAGGCATGCCTCTAGATCTCTTAGGGGTCATAGGGTAAGAAAACCTAACAATAAAATCTTACCTAAGTCCATAGATGATAAATAAATACACAACCAAAGGCAAACCAATAGAGAGGAAAATCACACTCGTTTTTTAGAAACAAGCTGCTAAAAAGTCTTAAGTAATCGCAAAGTTGAATCCTCCATCTTTAATAAATTAATAATAGTGAATTTACAGTTTATTGCACCCAGTAATTGTAAAAATGACCTTCTCTACCTGGTCATGCTCCCACAGTGCAGGGTAATCATTTTTTGCGCAGAGGCCTTTGATGTTGTCAATAGTTTCATTTATTCTGTAGTTGAGATCCCCAAGCCAAAATACATAGCTGAAACACAGAAAAAATTGATCCTTTCACTCACAAGATTTCATAATTATCACATTCCCTAATAAATGATACTCATACAATTGTTTTGCTAGGTTTGAATCAGCCATTTTCTTGAGTCTGGCCAACTGAAATAATAAACTTACTGAAAAACAGTTTCATTAAAACTAAACTTCTGTTCCAAATGACTTTATCTAAGAGATGCACACATGTGATAATATCACACTAAAATACTGCCTGAAGGTGTATGATGCCTATATTTAGAGCTGAGGCCAGGTAACTTAATCTTAACTTTATTTCAATTAATTCAAGTATCATCATCATTAACAAACAATAAGATCATCATCATCAACAACATCATCATCATCATCATCATAATTTCAGTAATTGTTGTCACCACTGCTGGTAGCAATGCCACTCCACCATAACCACTATCTTCACCACTGCTACCATTGACAACAAAAATAATTGCAACAACCAGTTAAAATGCTTGGGATGTGGATTTTGATATAGTACCTGTGTTCCATTGCTTTCTGTGGTGTACAATTTGCAAACAGCAAATGCTGACTTATGCTCCCATATTCCTAAATTAAGATTGCAGATAAAGAAACTTATTATCAAAACATCAGATCATTTCTGATTACCTTTAAGTGTGCATGTAGGTGAATTAGCAAGTTCACAACCTTTCAAATTCAAAAGCTGAAGAAGACCTGTGAAGTTAATGCTACCTTAGTTTTGCAAATAGCTTATTCCCAGCATTAAATGGGATCTGAGAGTATCACAGGATGCAAAAAGCAGGGAGTTAGTAAGACAGGTCCTCCCTCCTGTATTTCTCTTAACTATCTTAAAGGCAGGAACTGACAATTATCACAACTTTTACAGTCACCGGCTTAAAATGTGAGGTGCAAATCATAATAGTGCAAGCTGCATGTACAAGTAAGTCTATAGGAATGCTTAGCAGACTGTATGACAAGTGCTTTTATCATTAACTTGAAGTATTTCGTATTATTGAGTGCAGACAAACATACTGGATGTACTACCAGATTCCTTTGTTCTTCGTAGTCATATGAATGCTTAGCAGATTGTATGACAAGTGCTTTTATCATTAACTTTAAGTATTTCGTATTATTAAGTGCAGACAAACATACTGGATGTACTACCAGATTCCTTTGTTCTTCGTAGTCAGCATGAGCGGAGAAGTGACTGTTGATGAAGCAGAAGCTTTGCCCATAAAGAGTAAATCGTAATGACACTGCTCCCTTGGTTCCCTTAAAAAAAAAAAAAAAGTGAAAAAAATGAAAAAGTTAAAGACAGGAAATACATGTATGTTATTAAAAGACACTAGGCACCAATAAAGGATAGTAATGGCAGATATACACATCTGCGTTCATGGCCAGGTCAGGTTATTTTACTTTTCTTGAGCAAGAAACTTTACTCTTGCAGTGCCTCTCTCCATCCAAGAGTAACAATCATGGGTACCAGCACATCTTCAGGAATACGTGACAAAAATAGCAAATATTTCTGGTTGCTATGGAGATAAGGATGAGCTCAGATGATAATTCGCCAGTAGGCTTGTAGTACTAGTACTTGACATTAGTTAACCCTTATGTAACTATCTCACTCAGTGAGATTTAATTACACATCACTACTATCCACTTTACCAGTAGGCCAAGAAGTGCTGTTTTGCAGTAACCAGGTCTAATTTCACGGACATATGGAAGATGCTTAGTATGAACAGCTACAAGGTGTACCATTCCAAGCATGCGGATTGATTTGAGCTACAATGAGAAGTACACAACATTAACTTTTTCATAAGAGAACTAAATGAACCCTTTATATCTCGATTTTGCTTTTGTAAGTCTCACTTTCAGCACTCTGCAAGTTAGTTTGGAGATATAGGAGTTTACCACTCCTTGTGTTCAACTCTAAATCTCACTCATTTGCTATATTCACCTGTGAGATTTCAGGTTCAACACTTGAAGAGAAATTCCACATCTACATGTGCCATGTGTTATCTAATATTATGTAAATGTATATTTGCTGCCAGGTTTATTTCATAGAGAAGCACAAAGTGTTGTAACTTTGAATAAATTATGTGTCTATTTTTGTTTGACTTGAGGATAAAGGTTACTGGAATGTGGAATGCTCACGAAGAATTTACCTTTGATTAACTTGAATTGTTCATTAGGTTCACTAAGTCACTAGGAATAATTATTGTATGGTATTTCTACCTGCAGTACAATATTTACATCTAAAGTATTTAGTGTCCACAGAGCAAGTTTAGTTTTCGTTTAATGAAAGTTTAGCATTATAAAAGACTGACTGAATAGCAGAGTAGCATGAGGAAATGACAGGAATTTTATTTATGGGTTTCATGGGCAGCATTTTACATAATCAAAGTGCTTGTTTGAAAATTGTAGTTTTCATCATTCAAAAAAGAAAATACAAAATGAATGTCTTTGCAGCTTTGTCTCATATGGTTATGCAAGTGAAAAAATAACATTGTCTGAGTATATACCTTAACCAGGCCATACGCCCCAAGATAGGCTTGAAGAATCTTTACCCAGGAGTTTTCCTTTATGTATTCAATTAACAATGACTGTGGTTTAGCATCAACTTCCTGCAAACTACAAGTCAATAAAATGATATTAAATAGAACCTTGGGAATAAACCAAGGTTATTGGAACAAACAAACAAACATTATGTGCACATTCATGACAGGTAAGATCACTTTGTTTTGATGAAAGTAATCTAATATTTAAAAAGATTTATCCTATATAGTATCAACTAATCAAATAATCGTGTCTAGGAGAATTAGTAACTTAACTTAAGGTAACTCAAAACAACTTACCCGCTTCATTTCAGCCTGTAATAATTTGCCTTGACCCATACAGGTATATCTTTGTTAGTAATTACTTCGATTTATTTTTTATACTGATGGTAACCCAAGTTTTCATGTTGACCAAACTTCAAAGGATACCTTAGTAATTATACAACACTAGTTACATAAAATCTACCCGTATCATTGTTCACTCTATTTTCATTCCTGATTTTCCATTTAATTCTCCCTTTACTCATTTTTCAGATATTAATTGATATTAATACTGTGACAAGTATCAAATACTTCAAGTGAATCACAGAGATATCACCAAGTACAAATCTAAGAAAACAAATGTAAGAATACTTTGTTCAAGCAAGAGAATACGTACCCCACAGCAACAATGTCAGGAAGTTGTTCTTCATTGTCAAGGTGCAAAAGTGATCTGAAGTCTTCATCTGGTGGTTGTGTTACCTTGACATTCCACGTACACACATGAACTCTACAGAGGAGAAAAATTATGACCAACACATTTATCAACAATAACAAATGCCTTGTCAACATGCACTGCTAATAGGATTCGCCAGCAGTATGAAATGTTCTTTCTTTAGCAGTACTTTTGAATGCTGCAAAAGTTTGTTTGCTAATGGAGAACAGAGAGAGAGAGAGAGAGACATGTAACAGAACATATGCATTCAAGTACCAAAATATAGATCAATTTTGTTCCCAGTTAATTTGCATTATTTTTTCGTTGATCAAATCTCGCTGTAAGAAGTGGCCAGGTGTGCAGCGGAAAGACACAATCATGAAAAGTGACATCAAATAAAATGGTAAATTAGAGTTCGAAAGCAGAGCTTGAGTACCAGCATTGACTGTAGCTCAAAAATTGCTTTGTTGCACTGCTATAAAAAGAGGGACTCAAATAATATAAGAGGTTGTGAGAGGAAAAGAAAGCTTTTTTTTTTTCAGTGGTATCTTTGACATAAACTGATGCCGATTTTTTTCCAATATTATCACGTGAAACTTATATCCATCATTAGGAAAAAAGATTCAGAAAGTTTGAATTTTATTCTGAACGATTTATCTTCCCGCAAAACTCCAAATGAACATACAGAATAGTCTTATTAGTTAAAAGCAAGTCCGCCTGCCTTTCCGTCGTGTACAAATATTAAAATAAAAGCCCGGCCACAGAAGAACCAAAATAAAAGAGTACATTGCCAGTAACGGAGTATGACTCAGGTGATGATGAAAGAAATAGAAATCGCGCGTATTTTCGCCTTTCTAGTGTAACACTACCTGTTAAATAAACCTTAACACAAAACGGAGCGCCTTTTTTACCAGTACATAAATGGAGCATGCATTTATAATATTAATCCAGAACCTACTTTAATACATTCATTTCATTTTCGATGTCACCCATTTGGTTTTCTAAAATTCGATCTTTCAGCCAATTGCAAGGACCATATGCGCTCCTGACTTCAAAAGTCATTTTTCGTAAATTCAGAACTGAACTATCGCACTCGGAAAGAAAACTATTACAGCAAAAGCTTTTTTATCACCTATGAACTAACCATACAGTCAATCATCGCCACGTCAAAAAACGGAACAAAACCGAACTTCGATCGAACAAAAAACAGGTCGCTTACCTCAAACTCATATCGATTGTACAGAAAGAGGGACTTGAATGTTTCCCAGCGGACTACAACTAGTACAACTGCGGGTAGAAAACTTGCAGGTTCCCACAAAATCACTATGCTTCGTTCAAAGATGAAAACAGCTGCAGATGTTTATTCTCATAGCAGTGTCCGCTGACCCATTAGAGCTGTGACGATGGAGAAAAATAACACAAAGAAGACTGGTGTTGGGATAACAAATTTTTGGCTTGTTTCAGAGCTACGAGTTCTTCATCGTCCCTTCCAACTACCAAGGAGCCATACAGAAATATCATTGAATCACTTCTGGTTGTTCCACCCAAACAAGAGTGGCCTGTTACATTGTGTCAGGGAGGACACAAATGGAAGAGGGGATGAGAATATTGTTTTAACATAGAGAAAGCTGCATTTAAGCTTAATATAAGTGTTTCTCAAATGATGGCAATAAACTGAAAAATACTTCATTTTTTTCTTCTAGCTGTTGTTCTATAAAAAAATAACCAAAAAAAACAAAAAAAAAAATAACTCAAACAGAAAAAAGGGTGCTAGGAATTGCACAATTTCTTTGTGTCCTTACCAACTGAGAGCCAGGTAAGCATAGTACTTTTCATTCAAAACACAATTTTGTATCCCATAATATGTCCTGTATGAGATGTCCTCAAAAATGAAATAAGTACCAGACAAGGAACAGCATCTGAGGAAGGGGTGGACAGTTGGACACACATGCTGTGCATCCCTCAGCAGCCAAAAGGAAAGGAAGCAGAAGTAGAGAATATTGTTCAACATTCCTCTATAGTCCTTTATAGTCCTCTCCAGACTTAATACAAAATTTATTTCAATCTTTAATACAAATTACAATTTAGTCACATTACACAAGTCAATTCAATCAATTTGAGAACAGCTTAAAACAAGAATATAGGATTCCTTAAAATAAACTGCCTTGATTATTTACCCAGTTAAAAAATTAGTTTAAAAATACTGCTCTAAACTCAAAAAGGAGATGAGAAAATTATGATAAAAATTGACACTGAGGTTATCATAAAAAAATCAAGCAATTTCTTGCAATAAGAAATTGGCACTGAATTTCACATAAAAATAATTCAACATTTTCTTGCAATTCGCGGGTGTTAGAATCTCTAATGCTGAGAGTTAATTTGTTCCATGCGCAGCAGACCCAAGTAAAAAAGAATTATATTAAGAATTAAGAAAAAAAAAACCGTGTATGATATTTACATATGATATGACATTTATATGTATATATTTATATATATGATATATTTATATGTATTATATATTTATATGTATGATATTTACGTATGATATTTTTATATACAGCGTTATTTTAATCTATACATGTTTCTTTTCCTCAGTTGCATTTAACAAGCAGTATGATTGTATCAGTGAATTAAATAACCATGCTTTATACAACTGATACTTACAGCGTTAATTCTAGAAATAATACTTTCAACCTAGAGGTGCTAACAATATTTTAGAGTATTTTTTAACATACTTCTTATGATACAAATACAATGACAGAAAATTGAACTACAGGCAACATGAAGGTACCAGCCTCATTTCTCACTTAATTAATTTTTCCCAGCCTTTTGGTCTCTTAAAATAAACTTGATTCAGAGTTTGTGATGTTTGTTTCTGTTTTTCATGTCCAGGTTTCTCAATGTGTTGAATGACAACAAATAGACCGAAATGATCACTAGGAAATATACCGGTTCTTGTCACCTCATCGCCAACAATTCTCATTTCTTTAACCTTGAAATCCAAAAGCTTGCAAAAGACACGATCATAGCGCGCCTTGTGACTCTTTGCATTAACTGCAGGACCTTTCATTATTGAAATTTTTTCCCGATCGTACGTGAACCCATTTCTGTTGAAATTTCCTGATATCAATAGCCAAACATCAAACCAACCCGGTGGCAGCACAACTTCGCCATCAATATTATCATTGATGTTCAAATCTCCCATGACACAAACGTTGTCGTTAGGAGAGATAATGTGAAATGATTCTTTCAACTGTTGTTCGCGTTCAATAGAGTCGAAGCGACGATATGCCAAATGTGTTCCTGCAAAGCCAAAAATAACATCTGAAGAAGGAATGGTGTTCTTTACTTCTGCGAAAACAAGTCTTCGGTCCGATGTAGAATCGTTATAATTTGAGAATGGATGAACTAGCCATTTCTCAACAGGAAAAACACTCAAAATAATGACAAAATGTTTTCCATCGGATTTAAAAACGACTTGAGGAATAAGGTGGTAGCGAGAAAACCAGCGCTGTTCTCTCAGAACTGCCAGGTTGGCTAGCGTGACTTCTTGAAATGTGATAACATCTGGCTCGAGATCCTGTACAATTTCCCCGAGTGCTACCATCCTATCTCGCATCTTTAAAGGGGAATTCCAAATGTTGTACGTCAGGAATCTTATTTCTCTTCTATGCTTTTCTCTCACGTGATAAATAACATGATAAACGAGTAGAATGGTAACTAACTCAAACAAAGCCAGGCAAGGACCGCAGCGCCTGCGAAACACTACAAGAACGGATGCCATGTTTTCTTGTACCTGCGCATTCCCAAGCTAGCTCGCACCGACACCGGCCGGCCACCGGCCGCAGAAACACGTTTTCGTGACGTCACAGTAACTGGTCAGTGGTCATCAACCTAAAGGTGAGGAGCGCTTCGATTTGTTTGCGAGATCAATGAAGGTCAGAGACATTGAAATATATGAAGTTCATATATTTTGAACTGCGGTATTAGATACGTATGATGCACGATCCTCGCAGTAGATAGCGCTATTTAAGCAATAGCGAAAATCAGACCTGAAAAAAAAAATCAGGCCTGTACGGGATTCGAACCACTGACCTCTGCGATACTAGTGCAGCGCTCTACCAATTGAGCTAACAAGCCAACTGGGAGCAGGCCGTTAAGTTGATTCGTAATAAACCCGTGAAAGTGATAAATCAGATACAATGAAATATATGAAGTTCATATATTTTGAACTGCGGTATTAGATACGTATGATGCACGATCCTCGCAGTAGATAGCGCTATTTAAGCAATAGCGAAAATCAGACCTGAAAAAAAAAATCAGGCCTGTACGGGATTCGAACCACTGACCTCTGCGATACTAGTGCAGCGCTCTACCAATTGAGCTAACAAGCCAACTGGGAGCAGGCCGTTAAGTTGATTCGTAATAAACCCGTGAAAGTGATAAATCAGATACAATGAAATATACGAAGA